TTTTTTTTTTTTTTTTTTCTTCCCTTAATGCGCGCCACGCTTTATTCGCCGAGTGCGCGCGACCGCCTGAAGATTTCGTAAGGCGATTGTTCGAATGTGTTACGTCAACGGCGAACTAATTCCATATAATACAATCCGGCTGAGACCGGGGTGCGGAGTCTGGTGTCGTAAAGTTCCACAATTTATACGCCGTAAGTTGGCCCGAACAATGTTACTCGCGCTTACGAGCGAACGCGCTCTTTCGACTGGCGGCTTTCCGTGTAACTCTTGAGATTATTATTTGTTTGCCGTTACAAATAAATACGCGAAGAAAGGGAGACGACGACGGTTTTCGTGAACCTTTTTCTCGTGTAAGAGAGATTAAATACCACTATTGGACGCAAAGTTGCGTTCGCATTCGCGGAACAAAGGGAGATTTTTCGGGGACACGTCGGATGGTATGCACATTCGCAATTATAATGCGGAAATAATGCAGCGAGATGCATAAATTAAAAATGTGTCATGTTCACCAATACTGCAACCAATGCAATAACGAATATAATACAAGACAATGCAACAATAAGTGAAAGTATATTTTACATTTCCAAAAGCACCACTTTTCTCTAATCAAAATTTATTTCCAATGAGGTGACGTGGGTTGAATTCCATTTTTAAAAACTCTCTCTCTCTCTCTCTCTCTCTCTCTCTACAAGAAATAGAAAAGTCAACTCGACTTGAACTTTGTTCAATCTTTTATCTTCTAAAAGTTTTGATTTCTACATTCGTACATTTCAATCTCATAATTATTTTAGTCTTTCATCAACAACCAAAGTTAGTTATAAAATTAACTATAGTCTTATCGATACATTATATAAATGAGATTTTTCTTTTGATTGCAGATTGCCTATCCAGACGTGAGTGCGATTCTAAGCGGAAAGATTTCTTCTACGAAAGGTTTCTTCCGACGAGGAAGAATTTCGGTTAGAATTTGCGAGGGTGCGAAAGACGGAAGAGGAAAAAGCAACCAGTTAATTGCGCATACGCTGAAAAAGTGAGGGGAGAATAATGGCGGGCGAGGACACGCAGATCTTGTCGAACGGCAACGTGGAAGCGCTCACGATCATCCCGCCGAAGATGACGAACGGGAACGGGTTGATATGTGGCGATAAACAGCACAACAACAACGGTTCTATACCGAATGGAAAGTTGCATGGCGGAATCGGCGGTGCCGAAAACGGCACTTTGATCGTCGATGAAAGGTCGAGCAGTCTTCACACGGAGTTTGACGACGCTGACGTGTCTTGCGGATGGGGTCCTTTCAGGCCTCGTTGGCTGCAGTACTTCGCCACGAAGCAAGCCTTCTTGGTGACCTTCTGTCTTACTTGGGCAAGTACAAATTTTATAGCCTTTTGAGAAGATAAAATTTATAAAAATTTTATGTAATCAGCAGCCAGGGATAATTTAATTATACTCTCGAAACTCACTCGTATTTCTTTAAGAATAATTTTATAGAGACAAGGAAATGAGAAAAGTAAAAACTAAAAGTAAAAAGATAAAAAAAAGACTACGGTAATTTTGGACGGTAATGCTAAGAGATTGAAGAGCAAAAAGAGTAAAGAATAGATATTTCTTGACAAACAATTTTATTGCAAGAATTTTACAGCGACGTCCATCTCGATATGCCGGCGTAAGTCTTTATTTTTCTACTTTAATTTTCTACAGGTGCTGCAGGGCATGTACTATACGTATTTTGTCTCCGTCATCACGACAATAGAGAAGCTCTTCCAAATCCAATCGAAGACAACGGGCATTATCATGTCGGCCACGGAGATCGGTCAGATCGGGTCCTCTCTGTTACTGACATACTATGGCGGCCAAGGTCATCGGCCCAAGTGGATAGCCTGGGGCATGATCCTCTTCGCCGTGAGCTCGTTCACCTGCTCGATACCCCACTTTATCTTCGGCGAACAGCTGATTCTTCAGAACGAGATGCTGTTCAGCGGTGTCGAGCCTGGCGCCGAGGGCCGTGGGCCCAACAGCACCGACCCGATACCGGCGAATCTCTGCAGGTTCCAGGAAAGGAACGGCACGTTGGACGGGTGAGTGCTGCTGTCATAACTCTCCTTCAGGTTATCCTCTTCTATTTCTAAATTCTTAATGAGTGACGCCTTCCGACGATTCATCATAATGAAGAGAGATGTCTTCATTAGCTTTTACCCTCGTGATTAAGTAATAGCTAACTCGACAGTCGTGAATCATCAAAAACAAAGAGAATTAGGATTTATTAATAGCAATTAAAGCAAGTACAAACAAAAAATCGAATTTTTTAGCATTATCAGCATTAGATTAGATTGATCAATCCTCTCATTAATTTAACAAGAGGAATTTGCTTATTTTCATAATATATAGATTTTGATTTTAGTATTAATTTAGAAATAAAAAAGGAATATTTCACACCCAATAAATTGATATATAAATGATAGGTAGATAGTCAACAAAATGGGTCAACTCGTTAATTTAATTAATATTAAGAAGATAAATGTAGCTATTATATAGATTGAATATTTTAATCCGGTTTAACGGTGATTTCTATAACGATCCATATTTTTGATTTATTTCTCGCTTAACAAACAACTTGCTCGTTTACTTGTGGAAATCGAGAATGGAGAAGCATTTATAATATGATTGAGGAAAATTTATGATCGCGTTATTACAATATCTCGCGGAAAAACAAGGCGGCGTGCAAACGATTAGCTGTGTTATCGTTTCGAGCGAGATACAATAATTGTTTGCTGTGATAAATACACAATGTGAAGTGGAATACCGCCAAAGTAATAGGTATGCAGTTTTGCCTCAGACTCGTATTATACAAGAACCGGTTCATCGTATTTCTGCGGGACGAGAAGCGTCTGGCAGTTTATAATCCGAAGGCAAGTAATGAAAAACGAATTGCGCGCTTCACGTTATCATAAGGACTTTGTAGCCGAGTTAAATGTTTTCGAGTAAAAGTTCTATTCTGTTAAAAGTAGCTTCAAGAATAGAAAACATTAAAGGATTAGAATATATTGTCCGAAAGAAAGATTACTATTTTTTTCTTTGAAAATGATAAATGTCTTATATTTCATAAAAATATATGATTTAGTATATTTTATATTTATATGTATGTCTTATGTTTATAAAAATATATAATTTAATAATGTATTTTATATTTAAATGGCTCGAGGAAAGATGCACATGAAAATTGTAAAATTAATTCAGTAAAAAAATTTTTTTTTTCATTTTTATCAAATTAGTTTCTTAACGAAAAGATGAAGATTAGTCATCAATTTTATGCTGTACGACATCGTTTCAATTTTACGCTGTACAATATCGATGACGTATTGTCGAAGTACTCGAAGGAGATCAATTTTCACGAGATGGAAAATGATAACGTATTTGATTAATAAGCAAGAAAGTTTGATCGATAACATTTCTTGACAGCGTTAATTATAATAATTCGTTCTTCCGAAGGCATGTCTACGCACTATGTAGTAATTCTGCTAATTGCTGTTACATAACGAAAGTGTGTCCATCGACCGAGGTTAAAAAGATTTGAGTATCTTAACGCAAACCGATGTTTCGAACGGAATAAGAGGCTTTCCTTACAATTATATCTTACTTAATCAATTTACTGTACATTGTTCTATCTGTTCTTATACATTTTATTTCTTGCTTTCAACAATTACGCCTATACATCGGACTTTCTTTCATGACTACTCATCTACTGCTTTGCACAACATATTGTTTGATTCAGTTCGTTTCTCACCGTTTAATAAGGAATTAATTGTGGTACTCGTTTTTATTTACATACCTGACTGCATTATGTTTTTTTTCTATTTTAATTTTATTCATAATTTTAATTCTTTATTCAATTTTT